GTCTAACTAAGCGCGCTCTGCTTCTAATATTCCTGTCGGAGAGGAACGTGGAAGTTGGTGAAACTGTCCAACACGACGTTTAACAAGATTTGGCGAGGACAATTTCTCAAGGAATTACGGCTTTAAGCATCCAGTGGTTTCACACAGTGGATTTTGTGATATTATAGATGAAAACACGGGATTTTCACCCCCGTGTAAAACCAAGTCTTACCAAGTCGATTCTTTAACGTTTAGATAGCCTCATTCAGCATGAAGTGCATTGCCATGTTGGGAAAAAGCCATTTATTTGTAAGAGAGTAGTAACCCGGGCCCAAGGAAGTCTTCTAAAGGATTTAAAAATTTGTTATCCAGCTAACACAATGTTTTCCAAAAATAATGCACTTTTGCTTAAAAATGTAAAATTAACATCAAATGAAGATCTCTTAAGATGCTCTGAAATTGAGACGACTATCTTAGTAGCATGCAGTAGGTACTTGATGCAATCAGCACGTTCTACACAGGTAATTACTTTTACTACTAATGTGCCTCCCACTCAGTGAGAGAGATAAGAGGTTCCAACGCTACTTAATCAGGAGGCTTCTTTATTATTGCTCCACCACCTACTGAGTAAAACAATTTGCAGGCTCTATTCAGCAACGCTCACAAATGAGAAAAATTTATTAACCTGTGTGCAGAACGGGACTTATTTAGTATGTACAAAAAGGGGATTGTCTCCATGATTTGAAAACTACTTCGACCATTCGAATACTTGTATGGGGCATACTGGATGAAAGGCTTTCAGGGAAATTCTTTTTATCATATTGCTGGAGCTGGCTGGCAATACAATGTTTGGTTGCATGTGCTTAGAAGCAGTTTAGAGGTGTTAGGGGTGTAAGAGAAAGCAGTGATGGAATTATACAAGCTTTGATTAGAGGTGTTTAGAAGCAGTTTAGAGGTGTTAGGGGTGTAAGAGAAAGCAGTGATGGAATTATACAAGCTTTGAGTCAGTGCAGGGCAGTGACGTTGGGCGAGTTCATCCTCTCTGAACTGATTTGCATCTTTGTAGAATAAAGAATAAGAATAAAATACTTGCTTTATATCTATCTATAGTCAGTTCTGCAACCAAGGCACACAGGTGTTTTCTAAAAAGCACCATCCATTTTCAAATTGCTCAACAAAAACCACAGACATTGTGGGAAAATAAAAAGGAACTGGGAGAACAATGTTCATGTCAGTAGCATACAATAAAAAAGATGGAATCCCAATAAAAGTGGTCACACGATTTCACAATGGTTAAGAAAGTACATAACTACTTCAATAAGTACGGCACTTTACCTTGAAGAAGACCTGTGGAGATGGATATTAGAAGAATTGCAACCTGTGACTTATTGTGAAGCGGGAGGAAGAAGGTTATCTGAAATCCAACAGAAGGAACGTCATGGCTTAGATCTAAAATGCACCTCAAAAGTCTGCAGATTGGAGGTGGGTCCTGTCTAGAAGGGGCGGGTCACTGGGGGTGATTCAGAAGGCTGCATCCTTGTCACCAGCTCCTCCCTTCTCTCTCTGCTTCTTGGCTGCCATGTGGCAAAACCTTTCCTCCAGCACACCCTTGCTTCATGGCATTCTGCCTTGGAGCCAGCCGACTATGGACTGAACCCTCTGAAAACTGTGAGCCAAATAAACCTCTCTTTTTTTAAGTTGTTGGTGTCCGGTATTTTGTTCCAGCGCTGGGCAAGTGAGAGATGCAAAACATGATCACAGATGCTTAGGAAGGTGGCTCATAGCACACCTGGGGAACTGTGGCAGCTGGGAGATGTCAGAGGGTTGAGCACACTTGCTTCCTGTGTCCCTACATGACTCAGTTCGGGTGGATTCCCTTTCTCTTTTCAGCTAGTATTTCTTACAGACCAAATCACACATACACAAATGTAACGTCCATGTTATACAGAAAATGTACCCATCATGTTAGGACAAATTTATATTTTTTAGAAGAAGCAGAACAGCTTATGAAGATTGAATAAGGTAATGTTGATAAACATGTAGCAGACATTCAAGAAGTGTCATTGCTTTTTGATTTCTGGGGCTAACTGTTAAACTGGGATCATAGTCAATCTCAATCCCACAGGGCTGGACTTAGGTTGTTTGTCCCTCTCATGCTCTAGATCAACAACAGGGATAGGATCCTAAGGGCTGTCCTGAAAAGTTAATAAACAGCTCAATGCATTTGTTAAATGTTTGGACATTAGACCTCTGTCCTTGTCTACAACAATATCATTTCCTATAAAGAAATTAAGAACAAAGACAGGAAACACCAACCTTTTCCTCAAGCCCAACTTGAAAACTACTCGGCAAGAAGCAGGAATTTAGCTGATTCAGGGGGAAAATGGGTGCTACGATTCACATTGCTTCATTAGCACAAGAGGAGGAGAGACCAATCTCTCTCCTGAGTATTTTAATAAGTAATAATAGATAACACATACATAAGGCTCCGTGTGTGTCTGGTATTATAAGGGCTCTGGATATATTAACTCATTTAAGATTCAAATCATTCTGTATATGTAATTGCTTTCCTAGTCTTGATATTTCTTATCAAATTAGGGTGAGTTGAACAAGGTCAGATAATCAGTCATATTTCTGGTTATCCAGGGAACAAGTTTTCATTGGGCAGCAACTACAAGAGACTTTAATCTAAATTGGGCTTTGGAGTCAGACGAATCCCAATGGCTCCACTTCTAGCTGTGTGTACCAGGATTTGTGAACCAACTTCTAGCTCTCACCATTCCTTCTGTAAGCAGAGGTTGGTAGAAACTACCCGTTGGTGCTGTAAAGACTGAGATGAGGGAGTGGAATGGTTAGCACAAGGCACAGTGTGTGTGCTTAATCAATGGTCACTTTCGTGTATATACTTGTAAATTGCTTTATTACCAGTGTGGGGCCTGTCCATGCTCAATTTTTTTAGCCATATTGTGGGACAGTCCAGCTATCAGAAATAGCACCTAGCGGGACTGAAACCTTGGAACTTGGCCACTGAAGGTCTGCAGACTCAATCCTGAGTTTTCCTCTTCGGGTTCCTAATTCATAGGATTCCTCTGTCACTGTTGCTCTGGGATGCCTCAGACATAGCACAGTGACCAGAGAGCGTTTTGTACTTGGTCTGAAGATTGATCTTTCCCAGTATTACCGTCCACACTCACGAGTGTCTGGCAGCCATGTGAGATGGCCATGTCACTGTCTCTGCTTTCATATCCCATTTGTTTTCAACCCTCCCAGGCTGGCTCCTCCTTCGACTGGCTTACCAAGCGGTCCAGTACAGTTTTTCAGTCCGCGCCTCACCAGTCCCGTGGCAGAGTTAACCATGTCTTCTTCTCCCCTGAAATACTTTCTTCTCCTTTGTCTCCTAATTTCAAAGTCACCCTGACTCCTCTTCCCAGCTCTGCTCTGTGTCTTAGGCACACTTGTTCTCCTTGACAACTTTAAGCCCCAGCTTTCCTCAGGGCTTGCTCTCTCTCCTTCTACAATCTCCTCCCGGGCAGCCTCAATCATCACGAGGAGCTCACTACTTTCAGTTTGCTGGGACTCCCAGAATGAGACAGCAGGACCTCGCACTGGAGCCAAGATGGGCCCGAGGCCTCCTCCCGGGCCCTTGGACATCTCTCGCCTACCTCAAACTCAGCAGCGGAGTTCCCGCTTCTCATCCTAACCCAAACTCCCTCCGGCTTTATTCTCAATCCCTTTCTAGGCAGAACAAATGGCCAAGTTCCGTTGACCTTTTTCCTCAGATATATTCCAAATCCAGTTCTCTATCGCCACAAATTTAAGCTACTTTCTTTCTTCCCCACCTGGCTACCGCATTAACTCCCTCCTGGTACCTCTGCACCCAGCCTCATTTTATTCGAATACATGTAGTTCAAGGAAGCTAGAACAATATTTTAAAAATAATTTAACTTTGCATCTCCCCCATGCTCAAAGACCAAATTTCAAATTATTAACATGGATAGTCAAATCCTGAATATGCTGTTTCCTTTGACCCCATTTTCTTTTGTACCACTTTATTTATCTTTTATTCAAGAAATATTGAATAAGTACAGCGGTATTTTGGTTCACGAATGCTTTTGTTTGCAAACAGTTTGGTTCACAAACAGAAGTGCTTGGGAAAATTTTGTTCTCGTTTGCAAACTCTGCATTGGGTGGTAAACACGACCACAGCCATCTTTCAGATGAACACAAACATGGTTGTCTTTTGCACAATTGCAGAATGAATTAAGTTCGTGAACCAAGGTGCCCCTGTGTCAATTAGGCATCAGGCTTGTTAGAGTTCTTAAACTTGGTGACTTTTTTTTTTTTACAATAAATAAGTGCTTTTGAAATTTTCATTAAAAAGATGCCTAGCTATTTTTTTGTAAACAGATAAATGGAACCGAAATGAAAAGATTCAATCTACGTTATGTTCCCTATTTTGAGTAATTTTTCTAACAGCCAAATTCTTTACTGATACGTTTGTAGACATGGGGGTTAGGTCACGGGTTTATAGAAATCTCTCTTCATAAGCATAACACACAGATTGTATGGTATAAAGTTGGATTAGAGATAGATATAAACCCTTCTCGTGTCTTCCTCCCTCCTTGCCAGTAGTCTCCCTCTTAGAAGCAGCTGTGGTAAACCTTGCCTATGCATTGCATAAATCAGAGAAGTTGACATTCTAAACAGCACAAAGGTGAGGGTTTGGGTAACAAAAATTCACCCACATTGTACACAGGGCACATTTCAATTTTCTGCTGCAGTACTCAGAGAAGATTAGTGTGTTCATGAACTTAAGAAATTTCAGAAAAGACAAGCAGAGTGAGCAGCCAATTTCCAAGCGACTATCAGGAAATTTGTTATTAATTTTATCCAAGGTGATGTAATCCAAACATTAGTCACCAACCCCCTCTGCAGAGATAACGGATGATCTATTCATTGCCACATTCATTGGCCTTTTGTCAGGCTTGGTTTCTCTTTGACCTTTGAGCAGCACTTGATACCTCCTCTGCGCCTTCTCGGTGACTCATTCTTGGCATCCACATGTGGAAACCTTGAGAATCCCCCAGCTCACTGGCCTTCTACCTCTGGATCATGGCAAACTGCTCCTAAAAGGCAGACAGGTCCCAAGGCTCTGCCCTTGTCAATCCTTCTCTTAGCTGCCCCTTCTCCCAGGACTAATTCATCCTCATGGCCTCAAGTCTAGAGCAGGTCTCCAGGGCGTTCTCTTTCCCACTGATCTCTCTGACCAACATGTGGTTCCCCGATCCTCAGTACCCCAGGGATGACTTCCCTTGTTCTCAGTTTTCCTCCTTGCTTTTTGCCTTTCCACCAAATTCCCCTCGCCAACACCTCTAATCCCTGGTTCTCTTTTCTCCCTGATACAAATATTCACAGCTCTCTGAAACTGCATGTCAGGGCTTTGTTTTAAAGTCTTTTGAAAAATGACTCCCTGCTGCTCTCAGAATTAAGTCCAAAGTGGGTTCTGTGTCAACAAGTCCCTGTTCTAATTTAACCCTCTCTACCATTTCAGGATTTTCTGTCTAGCATCAAGGACACAGGTCTTGTTGAAGTCCACGGGGTGTGGCACCCTTGCACGGTATCAAACCATTGGAATCATATAGCCATGCCTAGAATGCTCATCTCTGGCACCTCTCCATCCTAGTCTCTCCCGCCATTAACCTCACTCACCGCTCTTTGTTGCACTGGTAGCTTTTACATCACTCGTATCAGGAAGCTTGATCCTTAGGCTTGGTAGGCACCCGGCTTTTGGTTTGTATTGCCAATTGTCAATTTTTTCCCACAGCATTAAGTGCAACTGAACTGTGCAGAGTAATATTGGTTTTCCCCGTGAAGCTGGGAGTTCCAGGAAGTCAACCACAAAGCCATCTCCCTATTTCCAGCATTTGGTACATCAGGGGCAATCATAAGTTGAACAAATGAATGAAACCTCCCTTTAGAACCTCCATGACCAGCCACCAAGTTCTGCCATTGCTCTCGTTGACTTCACTCCACCTGCCCTTCTTGTCTTCCCTTCCTTTCTGCTGTTACTAGACCAGGTCCTCAACTGGACTGTTGCAAAAGTTCACCCGTTTCCTTCAGATTTCCCTTCATTGTGACTAGTTTTGTAATGTCCTGCGAGACTAATCTTCCTTTAAAAGGCTGGCTGCGTACACACTTGCTCAGGACCTCTGACTGCTCGTTCCTGCCTACAGAACAATGTGGAAGGCATCATGGAGTCTTAGAATTGAGAGGAACCTTGAGTCTCATCTCATATCACTACTTTCTTGTGACAAATGAGGAAACTAACAGCAAAAACAGCTGGATGACTTTCCAAAGAGCACAGAACCGGGGTTTCTGTCACCATGAAAACTGGCTTGAGAGTTTCCTTGCTTACAACACAGCCTGTGCTGTCATCGTCAGGAAGGACAGTTTGAACTCCTGCCCAGGGTCTCTCCATCACTGCAGAAGTGATCTCCACCTTGGTGACCAACTTGTCCCAGTTTTCCCTGGACTCTCCCAGTTTGAAAACTGAGAAATATATATCCTGAGAACTCTGCCAGTCCCCTGCAGATTAGGATGTAGGTTATCCACCTCTGCTGATACCTTCCTTCTGAGTTCTCACAGTGGCCTGCCTCTGTTTCTAGAGCACACTATTCCAAACCATTCCCTTGTAGGCCATGGCTCTTGCTACTTCTGTCTCTATGTTCTTGGGTGGCTTATTAGCATAAATTAACATTTCTGACTTGTCTTCTTTCCCTCATGTGACATATGATACTTTTACAATAGGACTTCAAGTCCCTTTTATGTCCTTGCTTTCATACTGTCCTCCAATCACTCATGTGAGCAAAACCAGTAAGCACTGCCCCTTAGTTACTTTCTTGTTGCTGGGACAAAATAGCCGACACCCACAAGTTAAAGGAAGAGGTTTATTTTAGTTCACAGTCTGTAGAAGTTTCAGTTCAGAGTTGGCTGGCTTCAAGGCGAGGTGACACGGGAGAGGGGCATCTCAGAGGAGAAACAGTCCATAGATTGAGTTCATGAACCAAGGTGCCACTGTGTTGAATAGGCATGAGGCTTGTTAGAGTTCTTCAACTTGGTCAATTTCTTTTACAATAAATAAGAGTTTTTGAAATTTTCATTTAAAAAGATGCCTAGCTGTTTTTTCAAACAGATAAATGCAATTGAAATGACAACGTTAAATCTATGTTATGTTCCCTATTTTGAGTAATCTTCTTAACGGCAAAATTCTTTACTCATAGGTAGGTAGGTAGGAGGCAGCAAGCAGCAAGCCTTGCTTTCCCTTTTATTCCATTCAGCCATAATCCTTTTGGGTGATGCTCATTACTCACACCCAGAACTAATAAGAACCAATTAGGGAACTAACCACACATCCTTAATCCCAGTTTCACACCTTTGGTCCACATTCACACACCTACACCCAGCCACCTCCAAAGAGCCCACCTGTGACTGTATGAGGCTTTGGGGAAAATCTAGAGACAAGCCGTAACACACTGGAATAATGAAAATATCCGTTGAATGGAAAAGCCAAGCTCTCTCTTATTCCCATTGTACAGATTATAACATGGTAAAAGAGGAGATACTTTGCTGGCGAGGTCCATGAGCTTGACAGCAAAGAAGCAGTAATGATAATCTGTGACTATCTTTCTGTTTTATTTATTTGCATTGTCCACTAGCTCTTCCCAGTCTCGGTCATTATAATAGAGTGGAGCCCTTCGAGCCAAGGCCATCGTGGTGATCTATCGCTGGGACAAAATGCTCCGGGTGATGACAGCCAAGATCGACAGGGATGTTTAAATCCTAAACTATGCCTTGGATGACATTCAGTTTTTTGGCATGAAGTTTCAAAATGTGACTGGAGCATTTTCAAAGCTTTCCACATGGAGGAAACACCAGTGACAGAGGAGGATAGGAGACAGCTGTGGTCGAGTAGGACAAACACCGACTGTCAAGGCCAAATACCTGGGAAGGACGGGGATTCTGACCAGGGAACTGTGCGGCTTCAGAGAAGTCATTTGCTTCCCTTGGCCTCAGCTGCCTCATCTGTTAAGTGGAGCTCATATCACCTCTCTGGGGTGACAGAGGAGCCGGGGACACGCTGGTGACCCCAGTGCCTTCCCAGGCGCAGGGTGTGCTCACATTGCTTGCTTGCTAACATGACTGCTGTTTACACGTTCCAAGAACCTTCCCCTGAAGCTGCATGTTCCTCTGAGTTCCTAAAATCAGACCACAGCCATCAGGGCTTTTTCTCATCTGTCGTTGTTATGTAAGTTGTGTCTGCGGGTTTATCTGTGTATATTTGAATTTTGCAACAAGCGAGATTTTTAAAAGTCTGGTCTTGTTTTACCTTCTCCGTACTTCTCAGATTTTTATACCTTCTATCACACACATCTCATTTTGTCCTGCATTCGGAACTGCTCACTTACAAGTGAGAAATTGAAGTCCTGCCAGGACACAGCCCAGTAAATTCCTGTCTGAGCCCTTTGTGAGCCTATATTTTATGGTGGAGGATGCATACATAAGAATTAATTCTAGCAACCTGATAACTTTTATATCCGAGCACAGAAAGGGGCATTATGAAAAAAGACAGAAACATTAACTTCTCTGTCAAAGGAGGAAACATTTAATATCCCAATAGAAAGAAGAAATCACATAAGAGGTGATCAAGGAGGGGTCGGAAGAGGAGGTGATATTAGACTAGGGATTTAAAAATACGTAAGAGTTTGTCCAGGATGTTATGAGGGCGAGAGGCAGTGTACATACGTATCATTTATAAGCCTGGAACTGGTGAGCCAGGATATTTTATTTCCTATCTTTTCAGCTGGAAGCCAGGTTCCTTGAAATTTGGAATTAAAAATGTAGAAGCACCCCGCACACTTCAGTGGACATCCCAAAGTAAAAGGCAAAACCCTGGCTCTGAGAAATCGTCATAAATCCTCAGGTTCATCTGTGTATGAAGTGGACTGTACTTTCAGCTAAAGTAGATTAGAAGCAACACTGAAAATTATGGCTAAACATGCAGATTTCAGAATGGAAAAGTTATATCAGTCAAGCCAGATCTCACACTGAAGGTAGACTATTGTTTTTCACTTGGAGAATGTAGTTAATAGAAGATGAGTTCCAATGATCAAAACTGTTCTTCTCCTGGGCTATTGGAAAGTATCCATTAGCTCATCTCATACCATCTACTTCCTTTTAAAAGCTAATAATTTCGTTGCTAAAAATGACTCATATTTATTGTACTTAAGTAATAGAGAGAACGCTTTAGGGGGCAAAGTTGAATAACCACCCAATATCCCAGCACCTAGAAATAATTCTGACCTTTGGTGAAGTATATTTCATATGTGTCAGTCCATTTGTGAAGGAAGAATGGGTAGCTGGATGGCTGGATGGGTAGAAGTACTTCCCTTCATGTTTTCCGGGGCTGATGGACATCCCCTTCCTGTGAATTCACCTACCTTGACCTTCACTAAAAAATGAAGAGATGTCCTAGTCTCACATATTCCATTCCTATATGTTATTTTCCGGGTATTTTTTTTTTCAAATTAATCTCTTGGTGGAATCTTGGAAACCTCCCAGGGATGGTGACAGAATACTCACATGAGAAGGAAAAATAAAGACAAAGCACTTCTTTCTCGTATCAATGAAGACCTAAAATAGTTTATGGCATTTATGGGTTCTGACAAACAGGATGGGAATAAAACATCATTTGGATGCACGTGTCCATGATACAGGAAAAAAATAAGAAGACTAGGAAGGATAATTATATTGTGCAAGCTTAGAAAATGAGGAGAAGACAGAAAGGGGCTATGATAAGGTGCTTATTTGTAAAACAGAAGCACAACGCTCCCCATGTGGTCATTCATATTTCTGATGATGCATTTGACGTCCTGCCTGAAGATACTCTTTGCCTTTGTTTCTGCCTAGTACGTTCCCTTAAGAAGCCAGAGGCACGGGATACGTACCTCTGAAGAAACAGCTTCTCTGATGGAGTACCCTAGACTACGTGCTCTCACTCAGGCTAGCAATCCTGACGCTTTCCAGCGTGGCTGTGCACGTTGGGTGGGAAGCCCCGTGGCCATGACCCCTTGCCGTAGCTCATCACTCTGCACAAGGATTTCTCAGTCTGGACACTGCTGAGATTCGGGCCGAGTTAATTCCATGCTGCGAGACCCGTCCTACGCATACATCATGGGACATTCAGTAGCAACCCCAGCCTCCACCCTGGATGTCAGTAGCACCTCAGCCCTCTGTTTTGATGACCAAAAACCAGCTTCCGGTCCAAAGCATGCTGTGTCTTGAAGGCAACAAGCAAAAGCATTTCTCTCACATGGACACATATGGTCCTAGTGTGTAAGAGAAGGCAGGGATGTGCTGAGGCCCGCGAGAAGAAAAAGACCTTAGATGATGACGGAAACCACAGCACCAGGGTGGGTCAGGACTCAGCCAGGGGTTGATCTGACCCCTCCGTTCAGAACCTAGGACAGGATGGCCCACAGCTCAGCCCCTGCCCGAGTCAGCCCTGCTTTGGAAACCACAGGATACAAAGCAGAGGCCAGAAGCCTTGCAGTCTTTCAGTTTCACCAGACACAGGAAGGCGAAAGAAGGAGGAAGAAAAACCACGGCTTTGACTTTTTGGATAACTTGAAACGTTGATGCGTTGCCAATTATGGCAGCTGTGGTTTCTTTATCTTTTGGGGACATGAGCAATTCACAAATTGTGACTTTTAATTTTCCAGTCGGAGTTCAGATGGCTGGTTAAACAATGTTTAAGAAGCTCCTGCAAGATAGTTGCTAATTAATGAGCAGTAAGCCCTAGTTTCTGAGACATTTGAAACAAAGCACAACAAAGCTCTGGGCTCTGTCTAGTTCGGGGACTGATACTGAGAGCCAACTGAGGGGGAATCTGACAGCAGAGGGGCTGCTCCTCTGCTGAATCCCAGTGATTCCCCAATTCATCAAGTGGGGGGACTTTTTTTTTTAAATATGACTTTTATTCTGACAAAAAGAATTATACTCAAGGAGCCAACTATTCATGTAGTGTTTAGTATATAATGTAGTGGTAACATCTTACTAATCAAATGGAAAATTATTTTGTGCCGAAGGGTTTCAAAACTTCCCCAATCTCTCCAACAAACAGTACCCATTACTTTAAACACCTTGGTGTCTAGTAATTGTTCAAAAATGTGTCAGACTACCAGTAATTTAAGTCCTGTCAAAGATAAACCTCGGAGACTCACTTCTTCCAGTCAGCGACTTGAAAAACACGCCCACATGTCAATTACGGGAAGCTGTAGCAATGTTTCTTTGTTCTGAATTTGTGTAAACAGAAAAGGGTTCTTCCTCAGTAACAACTGTTTTCTGAAACCTATATAAATGTTTATGTGAGCCTCCGTGGGACGACACCAAATGAAAGCAATGAAAGCCACTCTGATACGCATGTGCGCACACTGTACGCGCCTCTTGGTAATAAAATATTTACGTGTGAAGGAGTAAATGTATCGACTTGTGAATTACTCTTTTCGCAGGGGCCTGACCTCCAAGCATTTACATTTTAAATTGTAAATCAACATGATCTACGTTTTTAAGGGATTGGAGTCACTGGTGCTTTTGCCTGTTACTCAAAAGAGATTGCCTCACAGATAATTTCAAAATCCCAGGTAAACAGATGAGTAGAAAACTGTGACTATAAAACAGAAATAATTCACAGATTGGCAGCTAATTAAGATAGGCTATTAGGAAGAGCTTTTCTGTGTAGTACTGTTCTCACCGAATAAGGCTGATAAATCCTGTGAATAGAATCCATCCTCACTGTAATGTGTATATGGCCATACATAGCGATAAATCAAGATATGGGCTAGAAGAGCTAGTGATTTTCCAGTTTTACATTTCTAACACAATACTATTTTTATTGAAGAAGATTGTGATCACTTAATCATAAAATCACCAATGCCTATTATGTGATAAGGTCTCCCATCAAGTTTTTCTTGCTAAATTGGATGACCGAATTTCAACAATAGAAGAAAAGAAAAATAAATTTGGGTCACCTGGTGGTATTTATTCCCATTCCTCCTCCTGGCTTTCAGCTGTATGTACTAAGAAGTAAATACAGCTATGAACTGTGAATGATACACAGATGGATGGTACAAAGCTGTTGGAATGAGACCCTAAGTGGTCCTCTTTCTAGGGGTAAATTAGAATAAGTTGATTTTCATTAAGCAGGAACAGATCAATATTTCATTATTAACATGGTGACAATTGCATGTTAATAAGAAGTCATCTTTTTTCAAGCGTCTTAACTGCCATACTCACTGGATTAATGGCTTCCCTCCTCCAGTGAAGTCTCCTTACATTTCCTCTCTTGTAATACGGAAACTTGAGCAGATGTGAGTGTGTATGAGTGTGTGTGTGTGCCTGTGTGTGTATCAAAGCATTGACCTTTTGCTGGGCAGGATTAGGAAACACCTACTAATGTTTCCTTCAGGAAGCAAGCAATTTTGTTAACCTGTGCCCTCATAGGAGTCTCTCCCCCAGAATGTTCCTGTCAACTTGTTTGTCACTGGGATTTAGATAATGACCCTGTTTGGTGACTGGTAGTTATACTGATAAGAGTTAAACATTTTTTCATTGCAGGACAGAAGATAATAAGATAAATCATTAATTAAAGCGGCTACATATGGGACAGAGGAAATTCTACCATGTGGTCACCTCCCCCAACAGTTGAGGGGTAAAAGCACCATAAATCACTCATGGTCCAGCAGTCTTCAGAAGGGCCCATCTTGCCCCTTACATGTGATGATAAACAACATATCCTCCCCGGGCAGTCCATTAGGTATTCGAGAGCAAGTGAACTATGAGATAACACATTTATCCTTCTTGGGAAGGTACCTCGTCATATTTCACATGGTGCAGAGAAAGTACACCCAGTTGGACGATGAGTAATGAGGATTAATGCATAATTCCACAAAGGATTATAGGTTCCTTGCTTTTGTGCAATAGTTAAATAATAACAAAATGGGATACAATGGCTCCAATGCTTCCCTAAGACTGTACACACTTGCTTTTCTTTTCTGTTCTACCTTTTTCTTTTCCTTTTTCAGCGGGAGGGTGCTCGCAAATATTTATCTTCCGAATCTATTTGCCATAGTCGTTGCCTCTCATTATGGAAGCAGAAATAACAGGAAATCCTTCATAGAGTCTTTGACAAAACCAAAAAAAAAAAAAAAATTAAATTGCAGGGTACTAATGGCAAAGAGCATGTGAATATGATCATTTTCTGCAGCCCAAAAGTTACAGGTGTCCTCCAGGAGTTGGCTCTCATATCATACTGTAACAGTGTATTTATGAAATCTCTGCTTCACTTATCTAGTAATCATTTGTTAAGCATCTGCCCAGGTCAGGATTTTCTGGCTGCACCATACGGAGGCAGGGCTTACAGGACTTAACAATCACACAATACATGTTTCATTGTTGACAGCAGTGAGCATCATGGAAGAGGAAACCAGGAGGCGGTTCAGGCCTCAACTCAGTGCGGGGCTCTGGGGAGCCTGTTCCAGGATGGAACACAGGGCTGAGGATAAGGTACTAAGCGTGGAAGGGGAAAGCAGAGGGAGACAGCGCCGGAGGAACCCAGAGCCTGCCAAAGTAAATCACAATGAAATCACGTCACTTCTGAGGAAGCCGATGAAACTTGAGGTCATCGTGTGAAGCCAACTAAGCCAGATGCAGAAAGACAAGTATGGTATGGTTTTATTTCTCACCCATGGAAACTAAGAAAAAAGAAGAAGAAGAAGAAGAAGAAGAAGAAGTACCTGGAAATAGAAGAGAGAATAATGGAGAGGGTGGATTTAAACAGGGCACGATATGTGCACATATGGAAATGTTACAGTGAAATCCATCCATCTGTAGACTTAATATGAACTAATAATTATACTCATAAAAAGTAGGGTGGAAAGAAATGCATCAAATTCAAAGTGTGCCACCAAACTAATCAGCAAATAGAAATGTCCTAAAGTGGGAGGCAGCACACGGCAATGTAAAAAAACAATAGGAGACCAGGGAACTGGTATGCAAGGAATTGTTGGTGGGGGCAGGGATGCAGTGGGGGCTGAGGAAAAAGCCAGGCGTCAGACTCCATGGGGTCTCGGAGGCAATGGTGAAGAGTTGGATTTTCCCTGGGTAAATCCAGGGTCGTGGGCTGAGCTGTGTTCAGCTAAACATACAGATCGAGGTTCTAACCCCTGGCACTCATGAATTTGACTTCGTTTGGAAAGGAAGTCTTAACAGGTGTAATGAAGTTAGGATGGGGTCATTAGAGGACCAGGGTCTTTATAAAACTAAAACTAGAAACCCCACGTGACCCAGCTATTCCCCGAAACAGTCGTACTGTAGTACTTCATCATACTACAGTCATCCATGCATATACATGTTGGAGCAGCACAACTCATAATAGCCAGATCTTGGAAATGGCCTATGTCCCCATCAATGGCAGAATGGATAAAGGAAACTTGGGTTTTATATCCAGGGGAGTACTACTCTGCCACAAAGAAGGATAAGCTTGAGTCATTCGTAAGAAAATGGATACATCTTGAGACCCTAATGTTAAGTGAAGTAAATCAGACAAGTAGGCTTAAGTATTGCAGGGTTTCTTTCAGATGAAAAACCCCAAATACAAATAAAGAGCAAAATAAAAGATCAATGATAGGAAAAAGGGGGACCTTTTTCAAATGTGAAAGGGACTAAGAGATGGAGGGAGGGGAAAGAGAGGTAAGGGAAAGAAGATCAAAAAAGCGAGATGTGTTCCATCCATGTACCAACTGCCCACACGGAATGTAATCATCACGCACTGCGAAGTGTACCAATAAAAGTGAAAACTGAAGAGAGAAAGAAAAACCCAAAGGATGCTTGTACCTGGGCACAGGGAAGCCCTGCCATGTGAAGACCTGGGCCTCTGTGTGACTGCTTGAAACAGAGACTGGAGTGAAGCAACCTCCACTGAGGGCTGGAAGGCCCTGGCAGGCGCTGGGAGAGACAATGAAACACCCTCCTCTAGAGCCTACCACACCTGGGCTCTGCCCTTCTTGAAACAGTGAATTTTCTATTGTCTTTAAGGCATGCAGTTTGGGATTCTTTGTTAGCTGCCCTAGAAAATGAATACATCAGGAAACTACTGAAGGATTTGAAGTGGAGGGGCAGTTTGCTCTATCACATTTGCATCTTCAAAAGATCCACTTAGCTGCAGAATGAAGACCAGGGTCAGGATAGAGTGGGGATGTTGTTAGGAAGTCGGGGGTGTCCCTGGGAGGGAGATCTGCTCTGAGGATGGGATGCCGGTCCAGTCGGTTGGTGTGGACATCTGTCATGTGCGCATTCAGGCCTGCACCACCTAGGTGGGCTGCCCAGTGAGAGCGTACTTTGTGGAGACCATCCTGAAATCTGGGCACATGGATTTATGTTTGATGCCAGGATATAAGCTGCAGGCCCCAACCGGAGCCTTCAAGTGACAAGAGAATTATTTTACCATTTCACACATTGTGTTGTTTTTCTCTGAATTATAATTGCTTTTTACATAATAAAAAACCTGCTCAAGAATGACAAAGCATAAAGAACTATTTCTCACCTCCTTTAAGAATGTTGCAGAATGGGATGTGATTGGAAGGAAAAAAAAAAGCAGTTGTTTCAACCATGTGCCACCAATGATTCAGCCACCAGTCCCCAACCCCCACGAGACAAACGGCTGGCAATGTCAGAAGTGCACCCATGCAATTCATGCTCTGCACCCAGCCATAGGGACTGCCACAAGCAGCAATGGCCACACACGACTCGCGAGGAAGTGATGGCGCTGGAAAATGCTTTCAACCTGGTGGCCGCATAACATTTTGCAATGAGCGGTGGGTTCCATGCCCGTAGCAAGACCTTTGGCTTTGTATAAGGCAACCCTTGACTCATGTATTGGTCTTTTTCTCCACTGCTAAACCAAAATATCTGAGGCTGATACTTATAAAGAAAGAAATTTATTTAGCTTATAGTTCTGGGTCCTGAAAGTCCAAGTTTGAGACAGGCAGCCCCATCAGTCTGGACTTTGGTGGGGGGGTCTCTTAGCAGATGGCACCGTGATGGTGGGAGTGAGTACAGTGGGGATCTCAGTGTGGGAGAGGGGTCAGCGGGTCAGTGGGTCAGTGGGTCAGTGGGTCAGTGTCCCTCTTTTTTTTTTTTTTTTGGTAGTGGTGGTGGTACTGGGGATCAAACCCATGGCCTTTGCACTGAGCTGCACCTTTGCTTTCTTCCTTCTTTCTTTCTTTCTTTCTTTCTTTCTTCCTTCCTTCCTTCCTTCCTTCTTTCTGTCTCTCTCTCTCTCTCTCTCTCTCTCTCTCTCTCTCATTCTTTCTTTCTTGGATCTTGCTAAGTTGCTTAGTTTCCCAGGCTTGATTTGAACCTGCAGTTCTCTTGCCTCAGCCTCCCAGAGTGTTTGGATTAAGGCATGTAGCACCATACCCAGCTGGCACTGCTCTCTGTCACAATTTGCTGTCAAAATATTCCACCATCTCTGCCACCCTTGAAACCAAGCTCCTCATACACGAACCTTGGGTGCTAAACGCATACAAACCACAGAGCCTGAGAAGAGCATCACAGACCAGGAAGTAGAGCAAAGGGATCTGTGTCTTGCTTTGGGGATTTGAAAAGCAGACATCCTGTGACTGAAAAAAAAAAATAGCTATCGAAAAACAGCATGGAATAATCATGGGCTCATTCCTTTTAGCCAAAGCACAAGGGTTCCTGGGTGTTGAGAGGAGTGTGTGTTTTGTGGGAGAAAGAGGGAAAAGAATCTGGCTGTTGGGACACAGAGGTAGGAAGGGGCTGTACTCTGCCCCAGCTTGCTTTTTGGCCATGGTGGGGGGGACCGAGTAGAAAGAAATCCTCCAGAGGAGTCAGGGGATTCAAGAGCAGGAGAAGGCTCTGAGTACCTTTTAAAGAGACCCAGCTCGCCAACACGCTGCCCCCACCACACCCTCAGCCAACCCAAGACGGAGGAACCGAAGAAGACTAGAAGTCCTTGCTTACTGTGGTTACACAAGGAGGTCTCAGACATCCATCGGAAAGTTCCCCTCGTTCCAGAATGGCCATTAGCCAGAGGTCAGAAGGGACAATGGACATCGACACAAAGGCCATGTGGACACAGGTGATCACCAGGATGGAGTATGATCCCCAAATTTTCGGATGTCAAGAAACCCTTGGAGCTTGGTCACAATCTCAGGAAGCTAAATGGACGCAGTCCTGGCCTGACTGAGATTAAGCTTCTGTTATCTGATGGTATGGATGCTTATGGTAAGGGTTATATTCGGTTGTATAAAACAACAACAACAACAACAACAAAGTCAGGTTTCTTGTCATTTGTCACTCAGAGCCTGGTGCCCGTAGGTCAGCTACATAAGGCAGCTCTGCATAGTAGCAGATATGAGGAAGAATATATGTTTCCTTTCCTTTAACAGCCAGGTGCCCCTTCTAAAGAGCATGCACTTTCAGATCTTTGCCCAGGCATAGGATGGGCCAAGTTCAAAAACCTCTCACCTCCTGAGGCCCCAGCCAGATCACAATTCAGCCATGCAACCTGTTCTTCAGTTTTGCATCCTCTCTGAAACTGGAATGCTATCTTAGGTATTTCTCTCTTTGCCTAGACAAGATCCTGGATGTTCAAAGTTAAAGGAAAAATGGTTTATTTCAGCTCACAGTTTGTAGGGATTTCAGTCCAAAATTAGCTGGCTCAAGGCAGAGTGGCATGGCAGAGGGGCATCACAGAGGAGAAACAGTCCACGGCAAGCAGGCAGGAGACAGCAAAGCAGTAAGCAGTAGCAGCAGCGAGCCCACCCTCTTTTTTGTTTCTTTATTTCGATCTAGG